GAGCTCTGGTGGCCTAGTGGCAAGAAACTGCACTGCAATCCCAGAGGTGCACAGTTCAAATCCACCAGATGCTCTGCTGCAAACAATATCACTAATATCGCACACTATCTAAATCCTGCTGAAGATTATCCAGAAACGACTGGAACAGTACATTGACAGAGAACTACCAGAAATACTAGCTGAGTTACAAGAGGTTGTGGCACTAGAGAAATTATTGCCAATGTCAGGTGGATCTTGGCAGAAAGCAAAGAATACCAGAGGAAAGTCTGTGTTTCCTTGGCTATGAAAAGGCATTTGACCATGTGGATTACAACAAATTGTGGCTAACCTTGAGGAAAATGGGAATACCAGAACACTTGATCGTGCTTATTTGAAATCTATGCTTGGACCAGGAAGCAGTCCTCGGAACAGTCCTTATGCATGTATGGAAACACTGCATGGTTCAAAACCAGGAAGAGTGCATCAGGGATGTCTCCATACCTTTTTAACCCATATGCAGAACAGATCATTGGGGAAGTAGAGCTTTATGCAGAGAAATGTGCCATCAGAATTGGAGGAAGACTCATCAACAACTTGTTATGCAGATGACACAACCTTGCTTGCTGAAATGTAAAAAGACCTGAAGTGCTTGCTGCAGAAGGTGAAAGACTTTAATATGTCAGTTCTCTCCATCATCTGTTTCAATGCAGTATATATCATTTATCCCCTTTTTCTCAGTCTCCCCCCAAGTATTAGTCCTTTTGTGACTGAGCTATTTCATTCAGTATAATGTCCTCCAGGGTTACCCATTTTGTATATTTCATGAGTTCCTTGTTTTTCAATGCAGCATAGTATTCGATTGTGTGAATATACCACAGCTTCTCTATCCATTTGTTTGTTGATGGGCACTTAGATTGTTTCCAACTCCTTGCTATTGTGAACAAAACCACAATAAACACGGGTGTGCATATATCTGCTTGGATGTCAGTTATGGTCTCTGTGGGGTTTATTCCCAGTAGTGGAATTGCTGTGTCAAATGGTATTTCTATTTGCAACTTTTTGAGAAAGCCCCATACTGCCTTCCATAGTAGTTGTACCATTTTACACTCCCACAGTGAATAAATGTTCCAGTTTCTCTGCAACCTCACAAGCATTTGTTTCCTGTTTTGTTAAAATTTTGCTATTCTTACTGGGGTGAGATGATATCTCTAAGCTGGTTTTTTGCATCTTAGAGCTAGGGATTTTGAACATTTCTTCATGTGTTTGTTGGCCATTTGAATGTCTTCTTTGGTGAAGTGTCTGTTCCTATCATGTGCCCATTTTTCAACTGGGTTGTTTATCTTGTTGTGGTACACAATCAATACTCTTGACACCAGCAGTCAGCAAATCAAAAGACAAATTGCATTGGGAAAATCTGTCAGCGACCTCTCTATAGAGTGCTAAAAAGCAGTTAAGTCTATCTAGAGACTAAGGTGTGCCTAATTCAGGTCATGGTCTTCACAATTATTTGCTGTGTCAGAGAGCTGGATAATGACTAAAGATGACAAAAGAACTGATGCCTTCGCATTGTGGTGCTGGGGAAGGATCTTGATCATAACATGGACTGCCAAAAAACCAAATAGGTTTGTCTTGGAGAAGATGAAACCAAGACTCTATTTTGAAGCTCTGACTCACATACTTTGGGCACGTGGCCAGTTTTTGGAGAACATCATGCTTGGGAGGGTGGAGGGACAGCGCAGGAGCAGAAGACCCTGGGTGAGGATTTATACAGTAACTGGGGAAATGGGGATTGGTGTGTGCTAATTAGTGAGGCTGGCTCAGGACAGTGCAGGGTTCAGAGCTACAGTACATAGGGTCGCTATGGGCCACAGGTGATTTGATGGCACACAACAATAACAACATCCTTATTCATTGTCTAGCTCTCTAATATAAGTAATTGTTAAGACCATAGCTTGGATCAGGTACACCTTAGTTTCTAGATAGACATCGTTGCTCTTCAGTATTCTAGAGGTCCCTGACCGAAAATTTTCCCAATCCAATTTTGCATATTGCCCTTTGCCGAATCTTTCAATTAATTCCAGTAGATATTTTACTTATAGGATCATAGGGATAATCCTCTATACATATAGTTTTGGTTCTTTACTTCTCTGGACACCATATTCTTTTTCATCTTACTGCTCTGGTTCAGACTACTAATACAATGCTATATAATTCTCATTCAACACTATTGAGAAAAAACTCATAGCTGATGCTTCACCACAATTCTTCTGTAGTCTTATTTATTGTCCAAATTTCAGATGCATAGGAATCAGTTGAAAATACAGGCTTTGCATTAGGTGCACCTTAGTCTTTAAAGTGACCTCATTGGTTAGCATTTTGGAGAATTCCTTCATCCCCATTGCAACACATCTTTTGATTTCTTGACTGTTTCTACCATTACTGTTGACTGTGAAGCAAATCAATCCTTGTCAACTTCAATCTTTTCTTCATCTTTTATGTTGCCTTTTGGTCCAATGGTGATTTTTTTTTAAAAAATTTTAGTTGAGGGGGGATTTTTTTTAGTTGAGGGAGATATATATATATATATATATTCCATATTGGAGTTGGTATTTCACCCAATTATGTTAAAATTTATTTTATGTATTCCAGGCTCTTTCACTGGATGCATATTTTATCTATCCTTTTGCTGAATTTACCATAAAATATCTCCTTATCCTTTTTGCTGATTTTAGCCTATTAGAAACATTATTATTCATGTTCTTTTCAGATTGCTGTTAGCTTTTTCCATCTTTTGATTTTTAATATATTTCTATGTCTTATGTGTCTTGTAAGCAGCATATTAATGGATTCTGCATTTAATCCAGTCACATTCAGTTATTAATGATATGGATTTACTGCTATATTTGTGTTTTGAATGGGTTTTCTTTGTTGTCAACATTTATGGACACACCTTCAAAGCAACTGTATCTGAATTGCTGGCATACTCCATCCAAATAGACCTTCCCACTATATCTTTTTTGCTGATTCATTCATTCTTGTTTGCAGTTTCACAATCCCTCAGAGATGGACATGTATCTGTAGGTATAGGTTAGAAGGGTAGTTTTTATATTATCACTGTTACAAAAGAATTAATTTTTAAAGAAAAAAAACCCAGGAGGAAATCAATAGCAAATTAGGTTCCCTTTTAGCAATTTTTATACAAATTATTGATATTAAGAGTTTTCACAATGTTACCAATTTAATTCACCTTGCTTGTCCCATTTCCAGTACTCTAATTTGTCTGTCCCTTTACCATATTTGTCATTTTACCATTTCCTTTCTTTCATTTATGAATAATACCTTATGAATCAATCTGTTATTTTGATACAAGATGACCTGAAAGTTATTTCAATTAATAGGTTAAAGACTATCTCTAGGCAATAGTCTCTTGTTCCAACCTGTCCAGTTAGTTTGGACTTCTAAAAAAAGAAAATGAGTTCTGTTTCTTACTTTTCTCTCATTCTATCAGAATCCAATCACTGTGGACCTGATCACAAGGGTTGTTAGTGGTAACCTGGTTCCATGCAGTGTTTCTGGTCTTGCAACTGAAGTTATGGTTCTTGTGTAGTCATCTTGTTGACAGTTTTCTTCTCTGAGTCTCTGGTTTCCTTCTATCTTTTGTTCTGGCTGAGTCGAGGCCAACAGTTGTATCTTAGGATAGTTGCTCACAAGCTTTTAAGACCCTAGAAAGTACATACTACAGGGAAATGTAGAACATATTTTAGGATGCCACGTTAGTTGGCTCTTTTACAAAACTTGTGAACCCAAGCTTTCAAACCCTGAAAACCTATGTCATGAAGTTTTTTGTTAAGTATAACAAGTGGTCCCTATGGCTATACACACACGCACATATGTACTCATATATTCATATACACACATACAACTTGAGTAACTATACACATACTTTTTGGAGGTTGTTGGTATTGCAAAATTTTATTGGTCATATCCTTTAAAAAATGCCCTTTTCTCTTGTGCATGTCTTAGTTATATCATTTACTCGGCTAAACTTTTTAATTCACATTCAATGATACCTGTCGTATGACCAAAAAGAACAGAAGTGTCTACTCTCTGAAGAGTACTCCTCTCCATCTCACCGCAGCAACTAGGGATATGTTTACTTGCCACCAAGAAGATAATCTCACAGAAGCAGACTTCGATTCTGTTTAGACACATATTTCCATTGCCTGATAAGAAAACCTGTTCTATAGTAAACGGACTTGAAACTCTTAAAAGTTAAATAAGAATTACCAAGGCATATATACTCATCATGATCCTGTTTCTTCCACTTTTCCTTTATAGAACTAAGATAGTTCAAGAGGGCTCAAGAGAATGAAAGCAAGAACAGAAATGACAACTTTTACAGATATGTGGAAATGGTTTTAATATGTTAAAATATTCTTTAATGAGTTAGTAATTATTTATACAATGGAGAGTTTAGAAAACAGATTTATAATTGTCTTGCTCTTGATTAGAGAGATTTAAAAATTACACAGAAAACATTATTTCCTAGAGTAAGTTACAAAAGGTTGAAGAAGTTGTGAAGGTTGAAGAGCTCCTGCTTTTCTGGCAGCTCTGATCCAATCTCAAGACTTAGTACAAAGATGACTATGCTTTCTCTTTTGAATTTAAATCTTTACAACAGTTCGAATGCTGTAAGAGAATGAAGCAATAAGAAGAGATAATGAATGCACCATTTTATTTACTTTTGAACACCCTCTTATAAATCCCAAAACATTACCACATCCTGTAATACAAAACTTAAAGGAAGCTTACCTCTTTCCGGCATGCAGAAGTTCAAATGCTTCATTAATTTGGTTAAAAGATAGATTGTGAGTCACAAATTCATCAACTTTGATCTTTTTAGACATATATTCAGACACCAGCTTTGGGACACTTTCTACACTCTTCCACCCTAAAAAACATCATTAGATTATTCAATATATTTCTATGATTTGAACTTAATTTTCTTTGGCCACCACAAAGATATTTAAAAGAATGTTTTGTTTTTTCCCCCCACCAGGTGAAGAAATTGCCAAAGAGGATGAAAACATGAAGAGGAAGAAGAAAGACACACATCTTTAGTAAGTAAGTAAATAAATAAATAAATAGTTTTTTAGTATTTTCTTTTTTTGGGGCATTAAACTTTACTAAACTCTCAATGTTTGGAGCCATCAATACTTCTAAAATACTCATTATACATCCCTGAAAGTCTTTAAACAAGTTTAGCTATGTCGACTGCAGTAAAGTTAACCAGAATTATAACATTCAAGAAATAAATTTGATTTGTCACACATAACTTTATATCCTTGGTTTTTCTTTAAAAAAATAGTGTTTCACTCAAGTACATTTCCCCCCACTCTGTGAAGAAGAAATGTGGGATAAGGATCATAGGAAAACTCATCAACAACCTGCATTATTCAGATTATATACAACCTTGCTTGATTTTAGTGAGGACTTTAAACAATTGCTGCAGAAGGTCCAAGACTACAGCTTTCAATATAGACTGGATCTCAATAGCAAGATAAAAATATTCACCACAGGATGAATAAGCAACACCATGATAGAAGACAAAAAAAAAAATTAAGTTGTCAACTATTTCATTTTGCTTGGTTCAACAATCAACACCCTTGGTACCAGCAGTCAAGAGATGTATTACACTGGGCATGTCTACTGTCAGATCTCCAAATTATTGAGGAATAATGTCATCAGTTTGAAGACTAAAGTGTGCCTGCTTCAAACCACAGTCTTTTTCAATCACTTGCTATGCATATGAAAGGTGGAAATGATGTCTGAGCTGTGGTGTTGAAGAGAAATAATGACTATCCCATGGACTGCAAAAAGAATAAATAGGTACGTCTTGGACAAAGTGTAGTCTGAGCGCTCTTTGGAAGCAAAGATGACAAACCTTCACCTGACATACATAAGGCATGCTGCTAGGAGAGGCTATTCCTTAGAGAGACATTATGGTTGGAAAGGTGAAGAGTAAGCAAAAGAGAAGATGACAAGATGGATTTACAGTGACTGCAGCAATCGGTTGAAATATGTCAGAGATTGTGAGGATGGTACAGGATAGGGCAGGGTTCAGATCTGTTGTTCATAAGGTCATTATGAGTTGTACTTGATTTGATGGCCCCTAACTACAACAATGGGACCCTATGAACAACAAAACTGAACCTTGTTTTATCCTATACCATTCTAACCACCTCTGATATGCTTGTGTCCTTTGAGCCCACAGTCACTGTGTCAATCCATCTTGTTGAGGGTCTTGTTATCTTGCTCTGAGTGTTCACCTTTTCCTAGCATGCTTTTTCCAAGGTTGGCCTCTCCTATCAACATGCAAAATATGAGGTTAAGTTTCACAATCATTAACTAAAGGAGCATTCTGATTACACTTATAAGACCGAAATGTTTGTTCTTTGGGGATTTGTGGATTCTATAGTATTCTTCTGCAACACCATAATTCAAACACATTAATTTTCCCTGTTATCCTTATGTGTTGTCCAACTTTCAGATGCATAGAAAGTACTTAACATGACAATGGCCAGGATCAGGGACACCTCAGTCTTTAAACTGACATCCTTGCTCTTAAGCACTTTGGAGAGTTGGCTAGTAGCCTATTTTCCCAATGCAATACATCTATGATTCTTGGTCTATGTGTAGATTTTGCATGAGCATAAATAAGAGTTCTAGGATTCCTAATTTTTTCTTATGGAAATTTATTACTATGACATTTTCATCAAAACTAAAGACATTGGCCATTCCTTCTTGCCTTTGTATAAGGCCAAAAGAGAAATACTGGCCATTTTGACAACCTTAAGGAGGACTCCGACCTTTGCGACCAAGTCCACCAACAAGAACGTCATCATTTTCCTCAATAAAATTCAAGTAACCATTGTTAGGCACAAAGGCTGTGATTTTCTTGCTGTTCTTGATGAGCTGGACTCAGGTACACTTTCTAACGGCAGAAATTGGCTGCTTGGCCTCAACACCCACTTTTTCCAACACAATTCTCTTTGCATGAGAAGTTCGTCCGAAGTGGTTGGCCTTCAGAACTTTGCTCAAGTGAGCTTTTTGTAGTGTTTATCATGCCACTCTGGTCACCTCGGTGGCTGCACAGCTCCCTCATGACATGAGGACCTCAACACTTGCCCACATCGATATGGCCAGGGATCCCAGCTGGGATTCCTATTCTTTTAATTCATAGGGATTCTGTTAGAGAAAAATTGCCCTATAAGGTTTCCAACGCTGTTAAGCCATTTGGAAGCAGAATTACACCTTTTTTT